CTGATCTGAGGCCCCTCTTTGCTGGGTAAGTCTCTACCAGTGGACTTCTCTGTTTCTGGAGCTGTGGCCTGTTTGAGCAGAGAGGGAGAGTCTTTATTCTGATTCTCTGCAGGCTTAAGATCAACAGTATTTTTTTTGTGCTGTGACTCCTGCTGCATGTAGGACTCAAGGAGACGATCCAGAATGATCTGGAAGGAGTCAACGCTAAACTCAAACTGCCGCCTCAGCACGCTCACAAATTTGAGCTCCAGGTTTTTGCCACTGTTGTTTGAGAGGGAGATGAGGCTCCAGCGGTCGTGCTCATTAAAGACCTTGACCATTTTCTGGACGTATGCCTCCTTCATTGTAGAACTGCTTATCCGCTCCCTGTTGACCCCAGCAGGTAGGCAGTCCAGCAAGCAGCCCAGCACTGACTCTTTGATCACCTGGGAGGAAAAGAAGTCAACAAGATGAAAGCCAAAACCGATGACCACAATCTGAGTGCAATTTAGCTTGTATCACTGAACTGAATATTATGATGCTCTTGTGGTTTCATTTTCTGTATAATGTTATTAAAAATATTAAAACCAGTACTATTGATTCAGCCCTATGGTAAAACGTTCTACAATTAAATTATCGCTAGGATTACTATAACAACATTATCAATATAGCGTCACAAAAATCAATACTGCAGCACCCTAGAGACAGTGGAGATTCAGTGGCCTACTCAAGGATAATACAGCAGAATGAATGCTTTTTAGGGGATTGATTGCCACTGCTCAACTCTTATTAAATTGACCTGCTTCCTTTTCATAACCAAGCAGCACAGTAATAATACCTGGAACTCCTCCTGACTGGGCAACTCCACTCCAAAGATGATGTCCAGGTCCTTGTAGCTTGTTCCGTTGTCTCGGACGAGGACGTGACTGGCCGTGGAGCCGTTCAGACGCACATCTCTCACTGTGATTCCCTGCTTCTGCAGCCTGGCCCGCACGGCTATGATGATGTCTCGTGGACGCAGCTCCAGCGTGGGAAAATTCCCACGGCCGTGGATTGGAACCACCTCCGACAAAACCTGATGGAGGACCTCCACTTGCTCAGCATTCAGGCTGTGGAACCGCTGACTGGATTTGGTTTCAGACATGCTGCTGCCCTGAAGGGAGGGATGGAGGACGACAGTGAGAGTTTATTCCAACTCCCCAACAAAATGCACTATGTGTTTAAGTATTTCGCTCTCTCTGTCTCTCTCTCACACACACATATTTAGCACTCACTCACACTCATATGCACGCTCCCTGCCAGTCTGCTGTCTGCAAGTCACAGCTTGGCTGACAGCTTTTCCACAATGCTAATGTAACTGCTGTGTTGACAAGCTGACACATGGGGCCATCCACATAGATGTGTTTAGCATAAATATTCTTTTACTGCTCAACCAGATCACAACAAATAAGGAATAAACACATTATATTATTCACCACCTTAAACTTCTATCACATCAATTAGTCCCTTTGTTTACACTCCATCTCAGTCCGATACCATATCTGATTCACTTCTTTTTAAAACATTACACAGAATTACAAAAAAAACCTGAATAATGTGTAAAATAATACTACTAATAATAGTTACAATAACAATGACATGTAAAGGCAGACTAAATCTTTGTTTATTGATTGTTTCCACCAGAGGAGCAAGGGTTAAGCTGAATGAGTCATCACCAGCAGACTGCATTAATCACACCAACGTCACTAATTAAAGACACACATCTGTTTTTGTGTCCGTGTGTGCACCACATGATGTGTATACATTGCATACAACGACTCCCACGCGCACTCGTGCGAGCGCACACGGGCTTTTACGGAACACCTTTTGTAAACTGTAACAACAAATTGGAACAAAGTGGGATTTAATATCAGCAATTGTTTTTTTGTTTGGCTCTCACCTGTGTAATCCTCCTGGCAGCTACGCACGCAGCCTCTGCATCCAGACTCCATCAATCAATCTCTACAAACTAGACACATTTTTCAATAATGCCAAACAACATTTGCCTAAGCAAGTCAGTCAGTAGACTCTATGTGATTGAGGGTATGATTGTGGGTGCACATAAAAGTGTTTCAGGGAGTGAGTGCTCGTGTTTGAGTGTGCAACTGTGGTTCATGGCAGCCCATTATGATCTATTGTTTGCTTTAATCAATAGATGTCACTCAGTGCTACAGTTGAATGCTGCTGATTGCTATGATTTGTCAATACTGGCGGGGTAAACACTGGGATACTAATAAGCAGTAATGGGGTGCTTTCTGGTGGCAGTTTGTCAGACATCAGAGGGCTATAGTCTGTAACAACCACAAACAATCTATTACAGGGAGTGTTTATAAATCTTCTGATTCGCGTTGCACACATAACAACAAACAGCGAAGGACAGCACTTTACTCCGTGGCATCTGCAGAGCTACAAAAGGCAGCCACCTTCTCTGCTCATTCAAAGGGAAGTGAATACGCTTACCAGAAGACAAAAGAAGTTGAGTCTGAGAACACAAAAATCGTAAAAAACTGCCGTGGATGAGACATCTGTCTGTGCCCCCCCCTCAACAAGCTGAACTTCAAGTTGTGCAAGATACAAATCCTACATCCAGAGACGGTGAATACATTTCCGGATGTTGACACTGATGCTATATATGATGAAACAATGTGTTGAAGAGGCAGAGAGGCACTGCGGGACTGTTTTCCAGCTAGCCCCTGTATCTCCCCCTCCCCTTCCGTACTCTTCTGCAAACTTGCAGCCTGAGTGACTCATCCAGGCGTATCGGCTCAGCACACACATAATCTATGGCCATTGAAAAGCCAACAAATCGGAGGGTCTCATATGCACCGGGAATATAAAGCTGAAACAAACACAAACAACAATGCTGTGGAACTTTACCATCTCTAGTTTTAAATATATAAAGTAGTATATGAGGGGGGAAAACAATTAAGTCCTGTGGATAGAAAACTCTAGATAAAGCCCTACCTATACTGGACTATTTTTTATACAAAATTATTCTTAAATGATACTAATACAATATTTAAATTGTACATTGATCTTGTGTCTATCTAAATATCCCTTTTTTCATCTTCCACTCACTTAAACAATTATAATCCCATGAACTGTGGTTAAAAAAACTCTGTATTTATCCTGCAAAATGTAATTGCAACATCTACTGAACACACATTTTGTATAAAATACACAGTTCCTGCTGAACTTGTGCCCTGACAATACTTGTGGTTTCCCCATAAAATAACCACCAACTGGATGTTACAGTTTACCTTCTGTACTGTTTCACAGTCCAACAAAATGAATAAAGATATGTATTGGACCTGATCCAGAGCCCTGCTGAATTTCACTCTGCCCTTCTGATCTTCACTCTAATCACCTAATCACGCACTTACTTACTCCTGAGATACCGGTGAGGGTAATTAAGTGCCTGGCAGGATAAAAAGGGCAGATGTACTCCTAAGTGCCAGGATTTAAAAAAACACACACTAGAGATACACCGGTCTGTCTGCTCCATGCAGCCAGCAAAAAAAAGGGTTAGAAAAAAGAAGAAAAAAAAAAGAAAAGTGAATGATCCAACTTTACAGAGCTGGAGGTTCTTACCTGTTGCTGTGGCGTTTGAAGGAGCGACCGGCTCCCGGTGTGACGGCGGGATTAAACCTCGAGTATCCACCGAGCTTCGGGACCGGAGTGTGTCTCTTCTTCTGCGTGGGTTTGTTGTTCTTCTGAAGTCCCTACCCAGTCCGGCTCGGCTCGGTGCTGATGCTGCTCTGTCCCTTTTGAGGCATGTGAGGCTGGAAACTGTGCGCGAGTTCATTCGGGCGCTGTCCAGGAGCTCGCGTGGTGCTGAAACGAAGACTGAAATGAGTCCTCGCGCTCTTGTTTTCTCCTCCGGCCGCCCGAGGCGTAACGCAGTTTCCATAGCGACCTGCCGTCATTCAGTTATGACTGGGGAGAGTGTGTGTGTGTGCGTGTGTTGGTGTGTTGTGTTGTGCTGTTGTACGGTCACCAAACAATGGGGTCGGCACGAAGAAGAGGAGGCGTAACAGGTGAATATATTCCCTAAATAGCGTAGCCAAGCCTCCATCTTGTGTTATAAAATAAAGTTAGGTTATTTCAGAACCAATATAAAAGGCTGATGTTGTTCGATGAATGAAGAATTGAATGAAGTTGAAGATGCATCCCACAGGGCTTTTATAAACACAAGCCTGCGGAGAATACCAGACACTTTATTTGTTGTTTCTCTGTGTGTAAAAGTGTCACCTAGGATGAGTCTGTGCTGAGGGGAGCGAGGGAGGGGGGTCGTCTGTGTGGGTTTCATTTATTATTGAACATCTTTCCCATTCACTTCTTCACTCTCCCTCAAACCACACACACACGACAAGACACACACACACAGCAACACTTTATACTCCCGGGGGTTGCTGCTGTGTCCATAACAGAGGTATCAGTCAAATACAACAGTATAGAGTCATCCACCCCCCCCCCGCCCGCCCTGGCGATCACCGCACATACCGGACTGTTTTGTTCCTCTTTGGACCCCCTCCCCACTTTATGTTCCTATCAGGTCACACATCCATTATTTCTCTCCATGCACAACTCCACATGTGCTTACAGATGTTTACAGATGTTTACACACGCGCGCGTTGAATGCACATCAGAGATAAAAATAAAAAAAAAGTGATTGACAACGCGGAAAAAAAAAAAAAGGTCAATTTACTCCTTCGCCAAAAAAGCGCAAATGACGTCACTAGCCGTGTACCACAACCCACCGATACCCCGGGTACAAACTATTTTTAGCCCGCATGGTAACTTGAGCGCGACCCTCGTCCGCTCTTGAACAATCGTGACGTAGGAGGCGCGGGCACGCCGTGCAAAAAAAAAAAAAAAAAATCGTGACCGTGTGACGTCAGCGGTGAAAGGTATACTTGTGTTCAAAGATGAGAGGTGAGGTCAAGATGGGTCACTCCACGGACAGTCCGTGGATCCAGTGAATCGATCCAGTTGGGACGACAACAGTCATGTCGCACATAGCCACGTCTGATCAATACATTGTATTTGTTTATGATTTACACATAGGTGTATGATACAAAGCAGATGCTTCAAACTACTGTTCTGAGCATGCGTAACACGATAGCAGATACTTTTCAACGTTTTAAAAGCGATTTACACTAACTAACTACACTTTCTAACATGAATAAATTATAAAAGCTCCCCCAAAGGAAAAAAAAACATTTTTGATTATTTTGACTGCAAGAGAAACAAAAAAACTGCAACAATGCCCAAATGATTTAAAGCGAATGCGGAAGTAAACACAAGTGAATCCTCTCGCCTCGCTACAGTCGCTAGCTTGCGACAAATCAAAACAAACAACTGTGAGTGGCTGGATGCTACAGTACGTTACCAGACTGAGTGTTTCTCTCAGAAAGAGACCTTCATCATGTCGAATATGGAGAGTATCCTTTCCTGTGAATGCAAACAGAGACATAACTGTAGATACAGTGACGATACAGCAGTAGCTGGCCAAATGTAAGCTGGGTTTAGGTCGCTGATGTTAGTCCTGTGCTGTAGCTTCTTACTTCTGTCCAGTCATTCACTGAGAAAGGAAAAGAGTGGTAAATGGTAGGCCAGCTAGCTCTCCAAACTAATTTAATGACTCCTTGGTTTAATTTTTACTTGTTTAGGAGTTAGGTTGAGTTAGCTCATGTCTTTGTGTCTTTTAGTTTATACTCAGTATATGTTTTATCATTCCACTTTATTACCATCATTAAAATAAACCATCCCCTTAACTACCAATACAGAACATTTGTTCAACCTCAAGTTTGCTGCCAAGGATCTACAGCGCAACTCCAAGAAATGTGACAAAGAGGAAAAGGCAGAAAAGGCTAAAGTCAAGCAGGTTGGCTTGGTATCTTGTAGATTTACTAGAGCTCAGGATCCAGGGACAGGCAGGGCTATATAATGTTTGTGTATTTACTCCTCCTTCCCTTTGTTTCTCAGGCTATCCAGAAGGGTAATATGGAGGCAGCCAGGATCCATGCAGAAAATGCCATTCGTCAGAAGCATCAGTCCATAACCTTCCTGAGGATGAGTGCACGCGTGGATGCGGTGGCTTCTAGGGTCCAGACTGCTGTCACTATGAACCAGGTCAGGCCTGCAGGTCAACATGGGAAGTAGGGGGGTGCTGAGGAGGCTGCAGCACCCCCCTACAATCTGGCATAAGGAAAACCATTAGTTCATAAACATTGATAACGAGTTTCTCCCTTTTTACTGGGATTTAAACGTGCACACTGGCATTTATGGCAGAAAAATTACTTGTTTTTTATCAGTTTTATCCACTAAACAGTTATACAAGGATGTTAATAACTACTAAATAGACTATACATTATCCTGGCCATTCAAATGAATGCAAAAACCATGAATTAAATGCATTTATATGACATCATTATATAGTTTTTCTTAGCACCCCCAACTCTGACTGACTTCCAGCATCCCTGCTGGTTTGTAGAAGAATTGCCTTGCCTGATGCTAGGTAAAGCAGGTAAATGACAACCAGTGAAAAACATACCTGACATATTAACTGCAGTCACACATCCAGATTTAAAGATAATCTCTTAATCACAGTATTGTTACTGTTATTCTCGGGGCACCCCAACACAGCAGACCCAGTAGCCATCCGCTTTGTTTACCGAACTGCCTCCTTGATAGGATACGATCTTAAGAACGACCCCCTGTGTTTACTGACAAATATGTAGAAATCACATGGCTTTTATATGAGTTTATAAATTATTCTGGTAGAAATATGTTACACCGCTGTGATAGATATGGGTATGCATATTTACTAGATATTTCATCGTGCATGTAGTTTTCAAAGTGTACATTTTGAAAAGATCTTACATTCAGTAACTATTTCAGGGTTAAAATAAATAAAAAATAAAATAAAATAAAATAAAAGTTCAAAGTAGTCTTTCCTTAAGATACACTCAGTCAAAAGTCCTACACAAAGGAGACAGAGGGAGTGAGAGTGAGGAAAAAAAGGCTACCAGACATGCAAACAAAAAGCCGGCAATTATGTAATGTCATTAGATCTGCTTCAGACTTTAGGCTTTTAGCTTCTCGCTCTTTATGAGAGTGACAGCCTCTTTAAATTGCTTTAATTCAGGTTCACTGTAGGACAGACATTATTTCATAGAATAGAACTTAATAGTGTATATAGAAATGGAAGCACAGAGTGAGATGGTGAAGATAAAAAAACACCTCTTATAGCCTCTGTATGTTGTTGTAATACCACAGCCTGTCTCATAAAACTCAATAGCATTTATAGTAAACCCCTTTACACTAAGTCGGTCAACTATTGGTAGGTTGGTCTTGACATGTTTAATCGTCACTCAGCGCCATCCTTTAAATGTAAGGAATGCTTTTAGGCTGAGAGGTAGTCATGACAAAGTATCTGGTTAAAAAGGTAAAAGTGACACCTAGTGGAAGTATAATGACACAGCACTTTAAGCATTGCCATATCAAGAGCCATCTCCCTCAGACTTCAGATGCCCTGATCCTGTCTTGATTCACAAGAAGTTAAACAAGTAAAGAGTGATGAGACTACAAAGGCTTCAGTACTTTATTTTATGTGTTCCCCCCCAGGTATCTAAATCCATGTCTGGAGTGGTCAAGTCTATGGATTCTACACTGAAAAGCATGAACTTGGAAAAGGTAACACAGGCGCAGACAGACACATATACAAACAAACTGAAAGAAAATATGTTAATTAAGATGTTTGCGATGTTGTTTCCTGTATCTATCTTTCTCTACAGATCTCTGCATTAATGGACAAGTTTGAAAACCAATTTGAAACTCTTGATGTGCAGACAGCTCAGATGGAAGACACAATGGGCAACACCATCACTCTAACAACACCTCAGGTAATAAGCACTCTCCTTTTACAACCAGGGAAAACTATGCTCCTGTATCTAGTTTTGAAGGCAGTCTTAACCCCAGTGATTGTTCAAACATTGAATCCTCTATCGCATATTTTTTTAATAACTGTTTGTCTGATTGGTCCCTAGAATGAAGTGGATATGCTGTTGCATGAGATGGCTGATGAAGCAGGGTGAGTATGGCCCAAGTCTCCAAACAATTTGAAAACACAAGTATTGCCACAGTAACAGTAATGTCAAAAGCAAAAGCATTAATAAAGGACAAATATAAATTCAGGGAATTAAAAACCAACTGTACCGACTTGTTAAAGTAAGCAGGTTAATGTTTAAGAACACAAGACACACACATAAATTGTACTAAAAGCTTTATTTAAATGGCTTTGATATAAAGATTAGGGAACAAACCTCTCTTACTGTTTACAAGGCTTCCTTGTACTACAAAAAGCCCATTAAGATTAAGGCTACAATTTTAAAGAAGCTGTGTTATGAGGTCAGAACTACTTTTATAGCCCCCATTTTGCAGAAGAGCTAAGAAGCCAAGTTACAGTGAAAATGTTCCTGTGTTGTTGTTTTTTTAGGTTGGATCTTAACCTGGAGCTTCCTTCAGGACAGACTTCCTCACTGGCTTCATCTGTGGCATCAACAGAGCAGGTTAACACATTCATTCCTATCATTATGCTGTCCCTATTTTAGTGTTTTACGTTCCATAAACAGAATACACACATTATGTTTATTGTCTTTGACAGTCTCATTGGTACACGTGAACTAGTGTCACCCAATGGAGATTTAAAGCGATCTCCTGTATGATTGAGAGGTGGCTCTTAAAACATTGACTGTGGTCAGCTTGGATTATGCACAATATGTAGGTTCTAGTATCCTCAGAAACTCCTGAAAACACTCCTGCAGCTCAATACATTTCTTCATCTGTATTCTCAGCATGTTCAAGACAATAATTGTTTCACCAACAATGACTAAAAGACGCAGCCCCTAGTGGAGCTCTGGAACATCATGGAGAGTGATAGCGTGACGCAGCAGCAGTATATCGAGCCATTTTTCACCTAAACAATGACAGTTTGGAACATTCATAGAGATGGACGGCGGAAAGGTGTATTTTGTGGGAGGAAGTGTTTGAGTTGTCACTGAAGAAGTCTTGATATGTTGTCCATTATGATAACTCACCAGTGGAATCCATTGTAACCAACATAATTCAAGCTGACCACAGCCACTGTTTATGAAGGACATAGCTACAGGGTGGAGTGATACTATTAACTTGTCAATTTCTCAACAAGCTGCCCCATTGACAATGTTTGTTTTTTTTGTTCTTGACATAGATAGATTATTTATTTTCCTTTCACGGAAATATGTTTCCACAGTCTGTACATAGCCTCCCGTTATATATACACCGATCAGCCATAACAGCAGCCCCATACGTTTCCTTCCTTGGACCACTTTTGACAGGTCCTGACCACTGAAGACCAGGAACACTCCACACACACTCTGACCCAGTCGTCTAACCATCACAATTTGGCCCCTTGTCAAAGTCGCTCAAATTCTCACACTCCCCATTTTTCCTGCTTCTAACACATCAACTCTGAGGACAAAATGTTCACTTGCTGCCTGATATATTCCACCCAATGACAGGTGCCATGATAAGCAGATAATCAGTGTTATTCACTTCACCTGTCAGTGCTCATAATGTTACGGCTGGTCAGTGTATACATTATACAACACAACATAACTACAAGACAGACATAAGATACAGTACATTTATACACACAGCCCATCCGCATACCATTGACACAGTGGTTTACACGAGGCACCATTTAAACCTAAAAGGGGTTTTTATGTTTTGCAAGTTCAGAACTGCTAATATTATAATAAAAGAAAAATGTTTTGGGTTTAAAACTGACTCCTTTAGAGAGGAAAATATTGTATGGCTGGCCTTCGTAAGACCAGTAAAAGTTTGTCTATATCTCGATCTTTCCCTTACTGTTTTACTGTCGTTATCAGGACGAACTCTCCCAGAGGCTGTCCAGACTGCGAGGCCAGGTGTCATAATGATGTGAAAAATGACAAGATCAGGAGGAGGCAGAAGAGCTAGAGAAGCAAGAAGAGACAGGGAGAGAAAAAGGGGAGATTAAACAAAAAAGGTGCCATGTGCCTGCAAGCTCTGTGCCCTCCTCTGTGTTCCAGATTCGTTCTTTTGTAAGAAATAAAAGCAAGGGGGAAAATGGATATTTACATCCTGGTCTATATCCAACACAGTCCTTTCATATTAATGTTCATTTGCACTCTCATATTTAACATGTATTCTAATTATTTATTAGCTCGGCAATAGGACACTACTGACCGTGTTATCTTTATTTTAAGGTGGCACACCTTGGACATATTCCTGAATGGGATTTTTTGCTCGAATTGTTGAAAAAACAATTGTATGTTGTTTAATAGCTAATACCTCATTTCAATATATACTATGTATAAAATGCAAAAAAGCAATATATTTATTTATGTATTTACCGACGGCGTATTGTTAAGAGTATGCTTGTATTGTTACTGTTCTGCATGACTGAGGATGCAGGGACCTTTAGTATTGTTGCCATGGCTGTTTAGTGGTGAAACTCACTTATTTTATTTTTTATATTTTACCCAAAAAGAGGGCTCATTGTAAATGAGAAAGCTGGAATATTTTTGCATGTAGCAGTTACCACTCTAGTAGCTCACCACGCACTTACATGCAAAGACAGAATCATTAAAAACGTTTTTAACATGTTTTACTTCTCACATTTTTTGGCCAGTTTATTGCCGTGTTTTGGGAAAAGTATGTATCCCTGCATACCTTCCTGTCCCTCCTTTTTCCATCCCTCCCCTCCTCTTTCTCTCCTCCAACAGGGAACAGATGAGAGGTCAAAGGTGTCACCTGTAGAGGAAGCGGCCTTCTGCCGCTCGCATGCCAGTGCCCTATTACACACACACAGAATTCACCATATCCCAGGGGGGAGGCGAGTCTCAGCTGGGAGCCATTACAGGTGCTGTCCAAGCACACACAAGTATCTATACATGAGCACACCCACTGCCCCGTAGCTGATGGGAGTCTTCCAGAGTGACACTCAGCCACCTCTGACCCTTTTTGTGTCCTTCCTAATCATCATCAGCACACACTTAACTACATTCACAATCATCATCAGTGCCCCCAGACTGACAAAAGTCTCTATTTTGCCTATTACGCACATACTTCTTCAAGTCCTCAGACGTTAGAATGATCCAAAAAATACTGGCCCCAGTAATCCAACAGCTGTCAGTCATTTCTGCTCAGAGTTAGATCACCTGAAATTATAATTCCATGTGCCTCAGCTGTCAGAGCCGCAAAATGTATTCAGTAAGTTTTGTTTTAAATCTATTTTTAACCTTCTGTGGCCATCTCTTTCAGCATGATTAAAGCCGGGAGAGTCTTTCATGGCCTATTTTCCTCTCCACTTTGTGCATCTCAACATATGTGCAGGGATGCTTCTTCCAGATGTGCTGGAGACAGCTCCTGTATGAGCGCTGCTCTGGAGGAAACCCCGTGTTTGTATATCTGTGTGTGTCAGGTTTTGATACCTAGTGGCTTTCTTCCCTACTCCTAGAGGAGTGGTACTTGCTGACAGGCAGGGATCCGGTGGGCCGGTGGTCCTGTCCCTGTGGCCGACCTGTCTGGTTTCTGCACGGGGGGGGCTGGTCAGAGCCACACACACGCTGGCTCGGTCCAAAAGCTCTAATTACAGCTAGTGGATTGCTTAGACTACTATTATTCACGCACAGGATGTGAAATAGTCCAGTTAGTCACGAGCTGGGATTCAGCAGGAAAAGATACATGTCAATAAAAAACATTATTTTTAATATCAAGAATAAAGCTTAGTGTAACACTATTTTACAAGTCTGTAATTTCTGAATGATTTCCAAGAGGTCTTCTAGAAACAACTACGTCATTTACTAAAATAGAGTGTTGACCAGGAAAACTTAAAACCATTGTTTATTTCAAATTAATTGGTGCATAACTCAGAGTCAGTGCACAGCTGGAAAAATTAGAAAGTTGTCTGTAGGCAAGCACATAGTTAAACATACAGTATATTAGGAATAAAGTTTCCAATGATAAACAATGAATAAATATATATTCCATTATATCCTGATTAGTTGATTGACAGCTGTCGTTAGCAACTGCTTTCATAGCGGTTTTATCCTTTTAGTATTTGTTAGAGCACAACTGAAACATTTAAGGAAAGCATTCTCTGGTTTCAGCTTCTTCACATGGGATGATTTACTGCTTTTAAGGGTCGTTGTAGACCGAATATCTTCCACGGTTTTTGGACTGTTGGTCGAACAAATTAAGACCTTTGGAAAATGTCACCTTGGGCTCTGGTAAGTTGTGATGGGCATTTCTTCACTATTGACTTTTCATAGACTAAATGTTTAATGGATAATAAACGATAAATGAAATCGATAATAAAATGGATCCTTAGTTGCAGCCCCTACTTGTGTTTGAATAAAATTCTTCAGTTCTTTCTAGAAAATTCCCATTCTCCCTATAATTAGTACCAAATTACTTAGTTCTTTCCAGGAAACTTCCTAAGAAATTACTGATTGTAAAATATGGAATTAACACGTCTCTGCTGCATTATAATATATAATAGAGGTTTAAACTGATATGGTGGGACTACAAGTATAGATACATATTGTACTTAATTGTATTTCACAAGAATATGTGTATATTGCTTGTTTTTGTTGTTTATATGCTTTCTGGTATACCTTATTAAATTATTTTATGGTCACAGTTCCACCCATTTTTGTTACAGTGTATCATCAGTTGTGAGTGTAGACGGTAAAGAGGTTCAACGTCTATTTAAGGTGGAGTTTGAGATGGAAACGTTTCATAGAATAAGGCTCAAACAGGCTCTTTTTTCACTCTTTCCTCTCCCTGTCTTCTCTCTCCTCCTCTGCCTCCCATTTGAAATATTCTATTACTATGCGTAAAGGGTCAGGTCAAACACAGGAAGCCGAGCTGATTGGTTCTACTCGGATATCGATGGGCATGTGTGACCAATCGCTGCTGCCCAGGGTTTTCCCCTGGTTTTCCCCAGTCTCCATCTGCCTGTTGCTGTTGCTGCTGCTGCTGATAAGTGTGTGTCTAATCGGTGCAGCCCAAGGCTCTCCCCAGTTTCCATTCACCTCTTGACCATTGCTTCCTGTCAGATGTGTTAACGCTGCTTTTAATCAGTTTTACTGTCTCGTGCACACACATACACACACGCGCTGATACAGCTGGCCCTATCCATCCCTCCTGTCCAGAGCACGCTTCATTAAGATTTCACCTCACCCCATCACCCACCCCGATATCTCTTACAGTCAAACGACCCGTGAACATGGACAGCCTTGTCTTTTACTCTTTATTGAGGCTGTCTGCCAGTCTTTGTGTCTCCGCACATGAAGGCGTTGTGGATTGGGTGCCACGCTTCTTCGTAGTTCACCAACTTACATTTGCAACTGTTGCATCAGGCTAATTCAAACAAATATGTTCTCATTCACCGCATGTATTTAAAGGTCCCAACAAAGCCCTTTCTCCCCTTCTTGGTTTGGCTGTCCATGGTGTCTTTAGTATGGCTTAAAAGAGTTGTCTCAACAGCGATCAGATGGATTGTCATAAGATTTGGTTTAGACATTCATGTTTCCCCCAGGTACTAAGGAATTATTTTAGTGGTCACTTGATGAAGTTTTAAGTTTTTCATCGCTTTGATTTATGGCCAAAACACCTGCAAAACTGATGGCATACCCCAACCTCTTCAGCTCAGCTTTGTGTTTGGTGCTAATGAGCAAGTTTGAGCTTGCTAACACGAAATACTAAGATGTTGAACATGGCAAACACAACAATTGTTAACATCAGAATGCTAGCATTGTTGCTGTGCACATGTTAGCATGTAGCACAAAGCACTGTGTCAAAGTACAGCCTTGCGGTGCCACTAGCATGGCTGTATACTCCGGTTCATATACATTGCATGTTTCTGTGAGTTTGTTGTGAATAGTGTCAGCTCCTTCAAAGCTTCTTTTTAGTTGATTCTGACGAAAGCGGTAGTGTTTCCACTGCCTTGTTTAATTGAGGCTTTAAGAATAAAATAGAAATAGCTAATCTTCTCACTTGTGCGCTCAGAGGAAGAGCGGGTCGTCCACTAATCAGAAGGTTGTTGGTTCGATCCCCGGCTCCTCCCGCCACATGTCGAAGTA